TGATTAAATTCACAAAAATTCTATAACTATTATTTCATAACGGGTATTATTTCAACAGTTCATTCGTTTCCTTCATCTTATTGTATTTTTTATTTTTTATTTTAATCAAGAGCCCATCCTAGGCAAGGCCCTTTAGACCCACGTTAGGAAGGTAAAGTTAAGGTTCAAAGGCCACCTTCTAAGCCAATGAACCGGGCAGATTGGAGGGGATTTGAACCCTCATCAGTAACATGGGAAGCATACCCATTTTCAAAGTTCTATTGGACTTTATTCTTGATACTCAATCACTGAAGTTAACAAAATAGAGATTCATCCCAACAATTTGGTGTTGGGTATTGAATTTTAAGGAGAAGACGAATTTGAGGTTTGAACCCACTCAATCTAGAAGTGACTTACTGAACAATCCAAAATAGTCCGCAGCACCAAGTGGTTTGTCACACAGTTCTTCAAAAGGAAAATATGCACATCCGTTAGCACCCAGAGGAACCTGAACAGTGGAAGAAAAATAAAATAAAACTGCTCTCCCTGTCTTATGACTTGATAAACTGAGGGTGATGTAGAATGGGCACACACCAATTGTTGGTGAAGATTTTATTTATAATTTTACAAATTGTAATATTTATGTTTATTTATTTTTTCTGCTTTAGGTTCATTAGAAATTTTATTAATATTTAGTATTCCATTTTTGAAGGGTGGGCCTGGCATAGCAGTAAAGCTATCCATTGGTGACCTGGTGTTCACAGTTTCGAGTTAGAGAAACAGCCTCTCTACTTGCGGGGTAAGACTGCGTACATCAACTCTTCCCTAGACCCCGCTTAAGCGGAAGCTTCGTGCACTCGGTACGCCCTTTTTTATTTAGTATTCTATTTTTACTAGGTATTCAGTTTCCTTTTTCTATTAGGGTTAAGTTTCCAAATGATATTAATAGTCAGTTTCCTATTTTAAATTAGGCCTTCTAGCCTAAAAATATTAATTCATTGCATTGTAATAGTTAGCTTTGGATTATTGATATTAAGTATTTAAAGTTGTGGCCATTTGTGTTAGGATTGTGACCCCCTTCTTCCTCCCCCTTCTTCCTCTCCCTTCTCTATTCTCTTTCTATTTTCTGTAGTGTACTACATCAGAGGGATTTATATCAAATACCTGTAATGTCCTCCCCATAACAACTTCCACCTGCTGTGGATGTGCTGTGTGTTCCCCAACTAAATGTTGAAACTTTTGCTTAAGAAGGCCAGTTAACTCTTTCCCAACAAAGTAGAAACCTTGCTCAGCCTAAAGTTCAAGTGAAATATAACAAGAAGAATTTATATGAGAAGAAACTACATGGTGAAAATTCAAACATGATGTTTTAACGAGTAAAAGAGAAAAAAAGAAAAAAGAAAAAAAAAGATAAGAGTTAATAACGTTACCGAAGTCATTTTCCGGTAATCTGTTGATGATCCAATCTCATGAACTACACATCTTTCCTACATCAAAATAAATTTCCAAGCTTAACTAAATAAAAAGTAAAATAAAAAAATTCAACATAGACGTGGTCAATGAGGCCTTAAGTTTCTCATCCATAGGCATACCTTCAACGTGGAAATGAATGGTAGAAAAAGATCTCTGTGCAATCCGCCTTCATAAAGGTTGTCTGGAGCACGATTTGAAATAGCAACAAGAATCTATACTTGCAGACATATACAAGTTTTATTTCTCAGTCA